GGGGGGGGGGGCATCCCACTGAAATCAGTGGGAATTTTACATTTGTCTTTATTTCGCCTGAGCGAAGCACAGCCTGGCATTTGCAGTCTGTCTCTTCCAGGTAGAAGGCACAAGGGGCAGATCCAAAGTTGTCAGGAATCACCTGAAACTCTTCCCTCAACCTTCTCAAGGTTTAGGTCCTGGTCCAGGTGACCAGACCTGTGCCTGGGGGAGATTTCAGCAGCAGCGGCAGGATCAGTCCCTCACCCATGCGTGAGCACTTGCACACGTGTGGGTACGTCTTTCCCCAGGAAGTTGCAAGTGGTCCCCTCTCCTCATTAACTCCTGGTAGTGGTGAGATACTGTCTTCTGCAGTTAAAAGGAGCATCCCCAACATCTCCCCAAAGACAAGGAAGGACTATCCCCTCGGCTGGAAGCTCTGGGGCAGCGGGAAGCAGGTCCCCATGTCCCTGCGTGTGCAGCTGGGGAGGTGGAAGACTGAGAGAGAACTTGGGCTGGATGATACTGGAGGGCTGGGCCCGTGGGCTCCTCACAAAGGTGTTTTTGCAGAGGGTAGGCAAAGCAACATTCAGTGCTCTGCTTCAATAAACTGAATATTCTCATCGGGCAGAGAAGGGAGATGTGATTTCAGGTGGTGTCATTCATTCCTTCCCCCCATACACACACACACATGCCCCTTCCCTTTCCCACACGTCACTGCTGGGACATGCCCTGCACTGGGGCTTGGACTGTCCTCGCCCAGGAGCTTGCTGAAATTGGGGGTGGTTGGCAGGGGGTAGGTTTTGGAGGACCAGGGGGTGCCTGGGGGGTGCTTTCCAATCTGGGGCTCCCCAACCTCTCGGTGGGGGATTCATGAGATCTACATCATACAGGGATCCACACCTCCTCTGGTGACATCCACAGGGACATACCAATTACCAGACCCACTACCAGAGACTTGCCAGGGTTGAAGACTACCTCCAACTCGTCCCAGCAGCCCATGGAGAAGGCTGCCTGCCTCAGTTTCCCCCTTTTCTCACATGAGATTCCCTGCAGCACTCTGCTCCTGAAGGTACATGAGTGAGGAGCAGCTCCAGAGGAGCCAGTGCTCCTCGGGGCTGCGTGATCCCTGGTTGTCTATTGCCACACACATCCAACTCCCAGGTAGGGAATAAAAGCTGAGACCTCCACTTGTTGCAAAAAGATCTGAAAAGCAGAGCAGGCCCTCAGTTGTAGCCATTTCTCATATAGCTAAGGACACTAAGGGTGACAGTCAAGAGGCTCATTTGCTTTTTTTTTTTTTTTTTTCCTTAAGATTTGGTTGGGGGATGTGGAGAGTATTGCTGAATTATTTCTCCCCCACCATTCGCTTCAGAAGGTATCTAGACACTAAAGCAAGGCTAAGGCTTCTCTTTTGTTTCTCTCAGAGCTCAGGTGTGGCTGCTTGGGTTGGTGGGATTGAGTTCTGCAGCTTTAACAGGGATCCTGGGGGGAGGCCTGAACCCACTGGAGTTTTGCCAGCGACTCCAGGAGATTTACCCACACCCAGTAACTGTTCTGACACAAGCAAAAAGATGTGTTAGTGCACGAACCCTACCCCACTGAGAAACACATGCAATTACCCAATACGGCAGAATCCAAATAGAAATTCATATCCTTACACTTCAGCATTATTTTTACGATAGAAGACAAAGAAATGTATGTTAAAAAAAAAAAAAAGAAAAAAGAAAAAAGAAAAAGAAAGAAATCAGACTTCCCCTCCATCCCCCCCAAATCATATGCATAAGACATCCTGTCACACACCAAACCACCGAGAAAAACATTGGAGTTAAGAAGTTTTTTCCCTCTACCACAACGACTTGTTCTAAAGCAAGAGTCACAAGACATTTTTTTTAAAAGCTTTCTAAAAGAAACAGATTTCCTCAGACTGAGCTCAGAAATCAGGATATTCCCTGGCAAGCCCTCCCCACTCCCATCACGAGGAGCCAGCTCACATGGCAACCCTTTCCTCCCTGGGTACAAAACCCTAGTGCCAAGCAAGTGCAGTAACATTCAACACAGCTCTTATTTTCTTTGCAATATTACACCTCGATTTCAACCTATATTTTTTATCTCATTCAAATTATTCCCTTTGAGCTTCTTTAAAGAAGTGCACCTACAGAATTCGGAAACAACTGGCTTTGATTTGAAAAAGAAAAAAAAAAAAAAAAAATTTTTTTCTCTGTACCTGATATATTGTGTAGGGATCTCTAGTCCTCTTTGAAGAAGCTCATAAGCCAAGCGGGCAAAGCTTTAGGAAACAGAAGAAAATAAAACAGTGCATACTCCTGAGAAAGAATTACATACTCATATCACTCATTTTTTGTTGTTGTTAACAGTTCTTTAAAAATGGGGGAAGATATCTCACACACACTACTCAAGAAAATTAAGGACTGAAACATTGGCATAGTTAGGAATATAAAACTCCCTAGAGAAAAAGAGGAGATCTCGGAAAATTAAGAAATCAGATAGCGCTGACATTTTACCAGACCTTACTTTCAAATTTTGCAACCCTGTATAGACAAGGCATTTTACCATCAAAAGGAAAGTACTAAATTACAAAGGTATGTTTGCATGCATGAATATGTGTGGCTATACACACATATTAAATATATATGTATATATTCATATATATACATATATGTACAAACATACATAGGATACACACGCACCCCTATCAAGTTCTGTGTGTGCGTGAGCTTACGCACACACATACGCACGCACACGTCCATACACACCTGTAAACGCTGGCAATCTAAACAGAGAGTCTGTCTAGACCAGGAAAACCAAAAAAAGTTCTTAAAAAATTGGTAGTTAATTCGACTGAGCTACGACAACTTGAAACTTCCCAGCTAATGGCATCTAGTGTTAAGACGCTGCCATGAACGCAGCTTCGAACTGGCTGGTGTTGGTGACTCCAGGAGAGGTCTGGGCGCTCACCTCTCCGCCTTTCCTAGTCTAGACAGAACCACGGTGGTGAGATGAGATGGGAAGAGTTGAGGGGAATGAGGCGATGGGGTTGCTCAGAAAGGAACGTTCTGGAAGATCGTTTTAGCTAGGGTTGAGACAGGATGTCGTTCACACACAAAAA